ATGTAAATGAAGAAGCTAAGTTAGCCCTTCATTTAATTTAAATTTCCCGCGTATTTTAGTTTAGACTTTATACGTCAGTATAATCTGTGGTGACAGCTTTTTTCCACTATGTCAAAGACAATGGTTTTGTTTCGTCTCGAGATTTTAGAATAAGCGCGAAAGATATTTGTGAAAATTATTTTTAAAATAAGGATACAAAGGATTGTTTGAAGCAATAGCTCTTAATGTTGTTTCTTTTACAGGTTAGTGGACCATAATGTTTATCTAATACTAATTACCTAAGTGAGTTGTGTATTTGCAAACCATTTCATTGGTTATGTTGTATTTATAATTAAACTTTCTTTTACAGAGCAACAACATAAGTATCTTGTTTCATTATCCAACCTATTACATTAATATATTTAAATCGATACGGTTGCAGACTGAAAATATATGATTATTGTATTTATGTTGCTCCCGTCTACCATATACAGGAGCTACATAAATATAGCTAGCTCGAAATATTAATATTTATTATAGCTAGGTTTGTGGTGGCCTTAACAAAGTGGAATTGTTTCTAGAAGTATGTCGATATATGAGATGACAAGGTACGTATCAAAGATAGTTTAATGAATCATGTATGGGAGAGCCATGCTTCGGCACGAATGGGTCGGCTCGATCGGAGTGATACCACGGCCTCACAGAAAACCGACGTGAAACAACGCTTGCGTTGTGTGAGTGAGGTTACCGGAGGTCAATTACCCCCCCCCCCTCCTCCCTAGTCTCTCGAATCCCCGAATCCTCCACAATCTTCAAATTTCCAAAAGGCCGGTAACGCACTTGTAACGCCTTAGTGTTTCGGGTGTCCATGGGCGGCGCCGATTGCTTACCATCAGGTGTCCGTCTGCTTGTTTACCGGTTTATGCTATAAAAAAATCCTAAAGTATTATGAGTACAAAATACCGTGTTTCATGACTTCGACTTACGAAGTCAACAGGTAAATGTACAGGTAGGTACATAAAAATATTTACATCTTTATATACGAATACAATGGAAAGACAGCCTTTACAAAAGTTTAAAATTTAAATTAAAATATGTGTAAAGCATGTGCGGTTTGTTATTCTTACTTTAGTTTGGTGTGTTGTTTTTAGTTTTAAAAATAAATAAACTCACCGTTTTAGTACCCTTCTGTACGTCACTATCTAAATAAAAGTCCTTTGGGAGTTTAAATAAAATATCACAGCAAAATAAACATCAATCATGGAATAAAAGTACCTAAAAACATTTTTGAAATATTATATGTTTGGCTGCCTCGGTGGCCGAGTGGTCGCAATTGCAACTGCTGGGCAAGGGGTCGGGGAAAAGTATTACTAAGCTATTTTGACAAAAATCTCAGCAAGCTCCAGCTTAGAATGGTGCCCGGTATATGGCAATAGGCTCACTCCCTATTATATGGGATTCATAGCATAAATAGTGGAAAATGAGTAGTACATTGTTTAATGGCATTAAGTGCCGTAATGTGCACCTTTGCCTACCCCTTCAGAGATAAAAGGTGTGATGTTGTTATGTGTATATGTTTATACATTAAAATGTAACCGACCGGAATCCATGTGAAAGTAAACACGTCGTTTAAATCTCCCATAAAAAGTACTAAAATCTATTTAGTTCAAGCAAAATTTACTTTACTGTCTAATATAACAATTCAGATAAAGTCCTTGGATGTCAAATAATATTAATTGTACTTAAAATCACTGAAATGTTTGCCTAAGCAGATAATGTTTCTGAAATATATCTGTACACATTTATCTTTGGAAAGTTCTAGAATATTGCTCAGAATATTAAATTACCGTTTTACTTACAAAATACTTGATGGTTAACGTTGAAATGTTTTGACGCTCTGTTTGTTACACAACTAAATATTGTACAAAATGTTTGTTGTGTAACATTAGCATAATATTAGGTCTATTTATCAAAAGAAGTGTAGTCATGCTCACTTCTCTTTAGTTATGCTGTTACTTAGTCCTATTGCTGTATATCTAAAAAGACTCATTTTTTTACATTCAACACCTATTTGTAAACGGTTATTCAAAAATGGAAAACCAAAGGTTTACAGGAAACTGTATACTATGAATTAGTTTAAAAGCTAGCTTATTAAAAAAATCCTTAATAATTTGGTAAAGTAATACCCGCAATAAATTTCCTATACTTACTTTATTAATTAAACGTATTCACGGCATTTATGAACAAGTATAATAATTCATGTCAATACATAGTATAAAACAAAGTCGCTTTCGCTGTATGTCCGTATGTATGCTTAGATCTTTAAAACTACGCAACGGATTTTGATGCGGTTTTTTTTAATAGATAGAGTGATTCTTAAGGAAGGTTTGTATGTATAATACATGCATATTGCACCCGTGCGAAGCCGGGGCGGGTCGCTAGTTATTAATAAAAAAATATTTTCGAAATCAAGTAAAGAAAAATCTCTGTACATTATACAAAATCACTACCCAACAAAATCTCTTCGAACGAAAACTTTACAAGCAGATTCTGACGTTCACCAGACCAGAAAATTGTCTTACACATTGCATTATTATTTTCTATCTCGTTGGCTAAATTAAAGGATGAAGTGTGGGAGAGCTATGTTTCGGCACGAATGGGCTGGCTCGACCGGAGTGATACCAGGGCCTCACAAAAAACTGACATGAAACAACGTTTGCGTTGTGTTTCGTCGTGTGAGAGAGAGTTTACCGGAGGCTCAATTACGGCCTCTCCCCAGTCTCCCCAATTCCCGAATCCTCCACAATCCTCAAATTCCCAATTTACAAAAGGCTGGTAACGCACTTGTAATGCCTCGGTGTTTCAAGCATCCATGGGCGGCGCCGATTGCTCACCATTATGTGATCCATCTGAAAAAAAAAAAACATTAAATATATATATTTTATTTGTTACAACCTAGACCAAATAAAACATTTAATTACCTAGTTTATTAAGTACTTCAATTAAAGGCTTTCGAATACGTTTGCGTGACACAGTTTTTTATTGTTTAAATTTCGGTTTAAATTAAAGTTCAAGTAACAAAATTATTAATTACAAAGTAGTTTTTTACTAGTCACGAATCATAGCGCAATAATTATTGGCGCCGATTGCTTACCATCAAGTGATCCCTCTCCTTGTTTACCAGCTTATCCCATAAAAAAATGAATTTCGAATTAACAAGTTAGACGCCACGGGGGTCACCGGTGACCAACCTTAGCGGAGGCATTGCTTTCAATCATTTTTTATTGACAGTCAAAGACTTAATAGTTAATGTTTGTTCCAGATCAAGTATCCACAACACAGGGACTCGGGAATTTACGAGTGTCAAATATCTACGACTCCTCACATGAGTCATTTTATACATCTCAACGTTGTTGGTAAGTTGATATTTCCTTATTACATTTATTTGTCACCCTTGTTATTTATTGTCTGTTGACTGCCTCTTTGACCAAGTGGTCGCAAATGCGACTGCCGGGCAAGGGGTCTCGGGTTCGATACCCGGGTCAGGCAAAGTATTAATGGATTTTTTTTCAAAAATCTCGGTAATAGCACGGAGTCTGGAATTGTGCCCGGTATATGGCAATAGGCTCACCCCCTATTACATGGGACTCATAACATAAATAGTGAAAAGTGGGTATTATATTGCATGATGTACATCTCTGCCTATCTCTTCAGGGATAGAAGGCGTGATGTTATATGTATGTGTGTTATTTATTGTTTGCACCAAACAGTTAAGGTGTCACATTTCAATGATGTTATCCTATACCACAAAAACTATGTTAATGTGATGCCAATTTAAATTAATTATTTTGTGAAAATGTACAATATTTTTCACTGCAATGATATGTATCATATTAATTGTGTATATCAATTGTCTGGTCTTGTTGTGTGTAGGTATTGTATACACAATTGATATTCATTCAAATTATATTTTGCCGAAATATCGTATAAAAATATTATTATACTTTTTAGAAATTGTATTATAACTTTTCCACTATCAGTTTCAATTTTAAATAAGGGTTTATTTTCGCTGATAATATCAAGAGTTTTGTGTTTTTCTCTTTAAAAATTCCATGGTTTTTAATTAGACGATTAAAAAAATCTTGTGTAAGTTCCTCCATCTTTTGATCCGATGATAACGGCCCTTCCTTTGACTATCAAGGCTAACCTCCAAATTACATGCTTCCCCGAAATAGCTATCAGTGAACTTTTTCAATTAATGCGAGTTCCTAAACCTCAAAATTAATTCCGAATTTCAAATCCGAATGTAAATAAAATAATATCGATAGATTCCGTTTTCCAATTTTCCAAATGGAAATTTAGTTGGTTTATATTGGGCCCCGTATTGCCGGAGCTTCGTGTTGGCAAATTTACAGTGTCTATCTTAGAGTTAAGTTACGTTCACAACGAGTACATCGTTAAGGGTAAAGGGTGTTCGTATTAAAGATATTAGAAACTATTTCGTAGTACATTGAAGATACCTTTAGTGGGTTATAGACGTCAGATGCAAAATAGTCAAAAAAGCATTTGCAATTTACTATGGTTCAGTCAATTCTGTTTTTTTTTTTACCCCGGTTGCCTCAAAGAGCCATCAGACCACCACAGATGGGGCCCAATACGGCCGATGCCGATTCGGAGTCGCGGAAAACCTAACGGGTAACCGGGGCTCCGGCTCGACGTGCAGGTGAAGGAACGGGGTGGTTTTTAGTCAGTAAGAGTCTGACACTCCCTCCCGCCTCACCCAGGCGGGAGCAGTCATTCGATGATTTTCCCTCCTTAAAAAAAAGTCAATTCTGGTTAGGACTCTGTACACTGTCACGTTACGTAGTTGAAAAAAAAACCAGGAGAAAAAATATTCTAAATAAAATGATAATCCAAATAATCACTACATAGTATAAAACAAAGTCGCTATTCGCCGTCAGTCCGTGTCTATGTATGCTTAGATCTTTAAAACTACGCATCGTATTTTGATGCGGTTTTTTTAATTACATGAGAGTGATTATTTAGGAAGGTTTATATGTATAATACATGCATTTTGCACCCGTGCGGAGCATGGGCGAGTCACTAGTTATTTTATAAATGTAACATAACATCATGTCTTTATCGGTATTTAACGGTAGGCAGAGGTGCACATTACGGCGCTTAATGCCACTGTACAATGTTATACCCACTTTTCACTATTTTATGTAATGAGTATATGTAATAGGGGGTGCCCCATGTAATAGGGGGTGAGTCTTTTTTATAAATATAACATCGCATATTTTTATATGACTATTTTTTTGAAGTCGGTTACTTAATGTACTAAAACCTTCTTCGTGTTTCTGAAAACCACATCAAAATCAGATCGCGCAAAAACATACGTACATACATAATATACAAGTCAAACTAAACACCTTCTTTTTTTCGGTCGAGTAAAAATGTTTTCAATGAAGAATCACCTGTAATATACAAAAAAGCTAAACGTAATTAGACATACGAGTCATGACTCCAATATCGTAAAAACTTATTTATATAGTAATCGTGGTAATACCAAACCCAATTTTAACTAACAACCAGGAAATAGGAAACCCAAAGAATATATAATGTCAATTACATTAATTAGTTATGAAAATTTGATATGTTCAACTAAATTGGTCTACGAACCTCTTGTAATTTGAACGTAATAGATTGTGTCATGACTTCTGTGTTGACTACCCGTATTTAATGATTGTAAACTATTGTTATGTCAATAAACACGGTAGAAATGAGGTCGAAATTAATGATGAACGACGTGATATTTATTGAAGAAACAACGTTATTTATCAGTACGGAAATTTCAATTTTAGTTGGCAAATAATTGCTTGTTATGCTTTAGGTGTACAGAAGTTTAATAAAGAAATACATAACATACCATCACGCCTTTTATTCTCGATGGGGTAGGCAGAGGTGCACATTATATCACTGTACAATGTAACACTCACTTTTTACTATTTATGTTATGAGTCCCATGTAATAGGGGGTGAGCCTATTGGCATATACCGGGCATATTTCCAGACTCCGTGCTACTACTGAGATTTTTAAAATACATTATAAAATAAAATAAGATAGATAGATTTCTTTTAAATAAATTACTTAACTATTGAATTAACTACAATGATATGATTCTCACGTAAATGTACTTAGAAAAGAACTTCTAGTTTCGAGTAACAGAGAGAGTTTTCTTCATGAGTAACATGCACTGTTGCTGCGACCTTTTCTCTCTCTTTCTCTTATATTCACGTGAGCCTATATTGCCATATACCGGGCACACTTCCACACTCCATGCTACTACTGAGATTTTTGAAAAAAAAAACAGTAATATTTTGCCCGACCCGGGAATCGAACCCGAGCCCTGGCCCGGCAGTCGCACTTGCGACCACTTGTGCAACGAGGCAGTCATAATAAAGCAGTTTTAATAAAAAAAATACATTAAAGTCATAAATATTATTTTTCTACCTAAAATAGATATTTCATATATGATTTTTGTTTCAAGAGAAAAGTAGATTATTATTCTTCTCGATCGTATGCTTCATTTCTGAAGGTCGTGCCCCTGAAAGGCTTTCATTGATCTCTGTGTTATTTCCCTCCATCTTGTCCTGTTTTCGGCTTTTCTCGGGGCTTTTGTAAAAGAGAGTTCAATGTGATCGGTAACTTGGTCACACCATCTGCTAGGTGATTGGCCACGTGGTCTTTTTTCTTCCACCTTATTGGGTGACTTGGGTTATCTGACTGGCAGCGGGCAATGTGATCGCTGATGACTATATAGCGAGTGATATCAGCCACAAGGTTGACAGACGATCTGATTAAGATGCTGGAAGCCAATGGATGCAGGTCGCTTCTGATCGACCTATCTGGAAGTCATTGGGGAGGCCTATGTCCTGTAGTGGATGTCTTGTAGATGATATTATTATGGTGATGATGATGACAATAGGTCACTATAAAATTTTACTCTAAAAAATGCGGATGCAATCTCACGTGAAAACCTAGTAACGAATGCTATTTTGCATGTCCATTGGATTGAACCCAACCCATCATACAAGCTAGTTAAAATTAATTATTAAAACCTTAATAAATACCTAATTTACAATTTTATGGCCATTAAGTTATATCATTATGATCTGAGCTTATGGCGCGGACTTCCAACCTCTCAGTGGGTGGGGTGGGTAGATACTGCATGCCGTTGAGGAGTTCCCTTAACAATTACACTTCTTCATCATCAGACTCTTAATGACAGTCCCACTCTATCTAGGTCTAAAGTCCTCATCAATATAAATTAATCGAGCCCAAACATGAGGTAGTTACTGTATACGGTTGAACAGTTCCTTTAATAATTACACTTCTTCATCATCAGACCCTTAATGACAGTACCACTCTATCTACGTGTAAAACCCTCATCAATACAAATTAATTTAAACCGTTGAGGAGTTCTCTCGGCTGTCTATCGGCTTCATTATCAGGTCGACTCCAGACCCTTATCGAATTGTAGTTTTTAAAAATCCTAATTGAAAAACATAATAGACGCATTACTACGCCCCTACAATTTTCGAAAGTTCCCTTTGGTTTCCCTTGGATCCCATCGTCAGATCCTGACCTCATGAAAATAAGACTATCTCGGGAGTATGGGTATAATTTCAAACAAAACAAGAATTTTGAAAATCGGTTCACAAATGGCGGAGTAATCAGCGAACAAACTAAAAAAAGCAATCAGCCAAACATAGTACCTCCTCCTTTTTTTGAAGTCGGTAAAAAGCTGAATGACACTAAAAATGCCATGTTTTAAAATATTAAAAACTGGAGTACCTAATGCTACAACACTAACGATTATGACGGTAGAGAAGTGGTCCTTCGTAAAAGCAAACACATTCATTATTTAGTGACCACTTAGCTAAAGCGAATGAAAGGTAAACTGTAATGAAGGCTGTTTGAAATGACCTGGAAAACACGAAATATACAAAAGTACACACAGTCGGCTGCAGGTTAACCTACACTTTTCTGTCAAATTTCTTTATTAGGTTTTCAACTCTATCGTTTATGTATAAAGTCGAAAGTCCAATTAAAAAAATTTACTCATTGGAGTCGGTTGTTGTGCTGGCCATAGTATATTATATAGGTCACGCTTTATATGAAACCTTCGAGTAAGTTAACAATAATAAGGTGTATTAGTAGAAGGTGTAAGGTCTCCTAGTAGATGGTGGTTAGTGAAGGACCTTGCAAGGACTAATAATTAAGCAAATTAATGTTTATTTTTTTCTAAGCAATTATAGTAAAATTAAGTTCCATGCAATCGTGACTCTTTTCTACGGGCTAAGCAATATTGCGTTAATACTCTTTATATAATAGTTCAGATCCCATCAGATTTTAACTATAACTTAGTATTCTCCTAAATTATTTGACAGAACTAACTGTATATTATTTAATGTACCTAAACAAAGTACCATCCCTATAAACAAGAAAATGGTTTGTTTTTATAATAACTATCGTGAGACATACTAAATTAACTAAAAATCGCGGGTTACTGACGTGAACATACTGAGAAAAGCTCTACTAGTCTCAGTAGGCTATGCGACATCGCCGCGACCACGCACGCTGCTCATGAGGAAGAACCTCTTTGTGGTTTGAAACTAGTAGAGCTTTTCTCAGTATACGTTTTTTCTTTTCACGTGAGTAACCCGCGATTTCTAGTTAATTCAGAAATTGGTTTTAAAATATTTTTACTTTCATACTTGGTACTGCAAGCTTGATGACTTGAAAGGTCAAGCTGTGGTGATACATGAAGTTTTTGGTATGAATTTTTTAATGAACGTTTAGTATATCTATATATATGCGAGTATAATGTGTGCGAAGGCGTTTGTTGATGAACTTAGAACAAAATATTTAAGTTGGCCATGTTTGGCCAAGTTAATTAAGTGACGTATTATGGGCACGCACGCAACTGATGCGTGCTATAAGAAAAACAAAACGTACCGACGTCCTTTCCTTATTAAAGAAGTGTTTTTATAGTGACTTCGTGTTTTTGCCCTAAGTACGGTATTTTAACGAGGTCTTGTTACTTGAGATGTTCAAGAAACACCTTCTTTATTAAATAGTATAGAGCATTGAAATGCCAAGTACTACAGACACTAGAGTATTTGAATAAATGGAAAAATGTCTGTATAGGGCGGACACTGACATAAAACAAAAACTTAAGGTATTATGGTGTAGTTACGTACGTGTAACTACATAATATCGAGTGCTATTCAGAGAAAAGTACGCTACTATGATTACTCTAAAAATATAAAAAACAAAAATGTTAAAATAAAACATACGTGAAGGTAACAATTGTTCATACATCTTCAAAAATATTGAGGCAATATTCATTTCTAAGAATCTAGCTCATTCAAACAAAATGACTAACTAACGAACAGTCCTGTTTTAAGCATAAAAAGCTATTTTATGTGAAACTAAATACGCTTTGATTTAACTAAAGATTTGTGCTATGTCCTAAATTCAAGTAAAATGTATGTTCTAACTTCAATTTACCTGGATTACATTGTAAATCTTGTTACAGAGCCAACAACAGAGATAATTGGCGGCCCTGACCTCTACATAGACAGGGGCAGCACTATCAACCTTACCTGTGTGGTTCTGTACTCACCTGAACCGCCAGCATACATATTTTGGAACCACAATGATGCGGTAAGAACAAAATGAAACATTACTTTAAAATATACCTAAATATAGTATAAATAGAGTTGATTTTTATTAGTTGTTTAATGTATAGTAAAAACTGGCTTGGAAATACGTTAAATGTCTTTTATGAGAAAGTTCTGTTATTACGTAATTTGACCTACTAAAAGGTTAACAATGTTTGCTTTTAAAATAAATCCCTATAAATTGAATTTAATTTTCATAATAACAATGATTCACGGCACGACCGTAAAGCATTAAATTTACAAACCAACAGTTACGACACAATCCCGAAATTTAACAGCCCAGATGTAATTCTATTTGTCAGACAACATAATCCGAATTACCATAATAATATATTCAATCCAACAGTTTTATAACATGAAAAACAGGAAAATGTATCCAATCTAGAAAATAGCATCAATCCTATTACCATAAAACATGGAGTGAATAAAATGTATACAGATAATAAGCTACGACTCCCCGAGAGGAGGCGTGTCGGTGGTGACTGAGAAGGGGGAGACGACGACCTCATTCCTGCTAATCCAGCAGGCAAGACCTTCAGATTCTGGGACGTATCAGTGTAACCCGAGCAACGCACAGTCCAAGAGCATCGTGGTGCACGTCCTCAATGGTGAGTTAGATCACACTGCGATCGCTTTACGTAACAACACTCATGTTCTTTTTGGTCCTGTTTTGTATAATTTTGTTTGCGTAGGATAATGAAATTCTACGTTCCCAATATTAAGTATTTCTCTCTTATGTAATGTTCAACACTTCATTAATTAATAACGTTCATAGAAGAAATGAAACCATTTAAAAATAATGAATCGGCGAGTTTAATCGTTTTAATACTATCAAAGACTAATTTTATTGACATTTCATTAGACGTCACGTTGCCTACATATAAATGGTTTCTTTATAGAACAAATCTGTTTAATTCAGATCATGATTTATAAAATACGAAATCTTGACGGCGATTCGTAAAGAGCATCCCAATCTTCATGATAAACGACCTCCGTAAGATAAAGGAAAGAAAATACATTTTTGAACCTCTTTACGAATAAAAAATTAAGGCTAAAGACGATTATCATTAAAGCAATGAATCAACGAAATTTTATGTTTCTTTTTAATGTTAGGTTTGGCTAGAAACAATGGGTGGAACTGCGATGGAATAGGGTGTTTTCTTGTAACATACAATTTATCACTGGCATTAGTTAAAAAACTATCGTAAAGCAACTTGAACGTTATTGACAACGACAAAGACAAAGACAAAGATTATTTATTTGACTCTAAGTAATTGGGTTTTCTTTTAACTGTGTCGAAGATTTACGATCACAGGTACTTGCTTTCGTGAGTGAAAAATGTTTTAAATGAAATGACACACAATGATTTGCATTAAAGCTTTCATGTTCATGAATAAAATCAAATTTTGATTTGACAAATAAGTGATAATTCACTAAAGTCGTTCTTAGAAATTAATAAATTGCTCTCGTCACCTCGGATATTAATATCGTCAATTGTATTGACTGGTTTTATAGCTCTATTCTTGTTCTTAAATTCCAGTCTGTCTTTGTTCTGTATTTCAATTTAGATTTATTGATTTCAATAGTAGTCTGTCACTTCATTTTATGATTGAAGTTTGTTAATCATAAATGGGTTTGTTCATTTGAGTAATCGTAAATTATTTACAGATTTGTAAAAATATTGTTTTGGAATTATGTTATTTTGTCTGTTACATTTGTTTACCTAAATAGGTTCTGATTCTCTTCTATATTTGTTTTGTTGCTACCAATATTGTTGAGAACAGTTTTAATTTTTGCCAAAGAAGCAAATTCGATTTTTCCTTTATCAGGTGAGTACCCTGCGGCGATGCAGCGAGGAGGGCAGGCGTTCGCACCAACATCGCCGACACACTGCCTTGTGTTGGTTGCTTGCCTGTTCATCACACTCTCTTGACAAATACGGATCTTTAACTAAATGTAAATACAATGATTTTATCAACATCAGCTGCTTATATTGACAATGTGGATTTCCAGAAGGTATTAACTTTGCCCAACATTTTCAATACAACTGGCTGAGACAATTTGCTATTTTATAGTGTGGGTTGTGTTATGTACAATATAAAGTAAATTACTTTACAAGAGCAAGTAGGATATGCTTGTTCCATATAGTGTTGTATATAGTGTAAAATATAAAGCGTGTTAATCGTATTAATTTGTGTAATGATAATTAGATTTGATTTCCAACATATAAAGAACCCTTGTCACTCGTAAGATTATACTTCCAAGTAAAATATTGTAACAGGAATGTAACGAATATTTTGTATTACATTAATTGGCGAATAAAACGTATAATTGTTTATGATAGATGTGTATTAGAGAAAAATGATGACGAAAAATTTAATCAAATGAAAGAACAAAAAGATAGTGGACACAGGAATGTATAAACAGCTGACAATACTACGTTTAAAACACAAAAAGAAAATGTAAATAGTTGAGGTTATACGAATCACTCTATCTAGCCTTTAATAATATCTGTACTAAGTGATGTAAATTGTAAGTAAGTTTTTAGTAAATTTTGTGAATCTAAATGATGTTGTAAATAGTATTTGTAAGATGACTTTTGCAAAGGGGTCTTGGTAAAGTATAGACAGAAAATAATATTTGTATAACTTGATAAAACCACAGCATTCTTGAAACTTGCAAAAAAATCGTATTATTTCCTAATTTTGGAACTCACTTGAAAATATGTTTAATTAAATAAAAAATGCATATCGAAAATAATTGAAATTAATTTTGGAATACTTGTAGTAAGACCCATTTGAAAAAGTAGGATATTGTATAATAATAAAAATATAAAAATAATAATAGAGTAGATAGTCGTAAGCGTAAACTAGGAGAAGATATTTTACATAGTTAGAAAACAATTCTGATTTCAAATCGAAAATTGTTTGTGTACTTTAATATTCTTCCTGTGACCGATATATTTCTATATAAAAAATATAACGAAATAAAATACGTAAAAATACTTCAAGATGTGTAAAACTTTCGTTGCCTATAAAAGTGTACCTTAATTTCGAAAATTGTATAAAAACCTAATCTTGTCCCCCGTCCCTTTATTTTTTAAGGCTCGTTACTTATTGCTAAAATATCGAAGTGCTTTTAGACAGAAACTGTCGTTAAAAACTTACATTTTTTTATTAATTTTTCACTACACTGTACATAAAAAGCTGTCCAGCTTTAATCCCGCTGAATCTCGATGTAAAATAACGAAATAAAAAAATAAATTGAAAGTGTTTTTTCTTGAATTAGGATACGACAGATCTTGATAATTATTATAACCAGTTATTATTATGTCAAAAGTTTATTATTGTATACAAGTAACAATAGTATTAAATAAATTTGTTGTATGTATTACGATACCTGAAGGTGCGGTGCTCCGCATTATATAATTACATGTGTAATAAACATTATAAAGAAACAATAAAGTTTTAAAAAAATATTTGAGTTTTCTTGACCACTTAGGGATTACTTACTTTTTTTTAATGACGAATTTCGATTTTGCTGTATACAATACTGCAACATAGATATAAAGACATAGGATTAACTGTTAGTTTGTTAAGACTAAACAGCTTTACTAAATCTCTTAGTGTCACATTTTTAGAATCATAAATATACTGAACTTTAATTATGACAAAATCATTTTTTAGTTTATCAAAACATGTATGCAAAATACAGTACTAAACAGCTATCCAAGAAACATTTTACAATTGCCATAAAATACAGTAGGTACTAAACTCCACATAAAGCATTGTTAAACGAAGGAAGGACCAAGTAATTAAAAAATAACATAATCAATAAGTAATCTAACTTACAAAACAGTACACCATGACCCTGGGAGGTGATTTTCAACTTTTCCTTTTAAACTTGCCCTAATCCTGAAACATACAAAGTAATTTTTGAAAAGAAAGCCTTGGAAACTGGGCATTATAGATTCATATTACTTCTGAGCAGTAAAACTTTTTTGTTTACATACGAAAATAAATCAAGGGTAAAAAATGTTTGGAGGCGGGGAAAACAAGGGACGAGCGAGCGATCTTATGAATATCTAATCGTTTCGAACAGAGATGAAAGATGTCTTCCCTAATTCGTAAAGACTTATTTACATGCTACATCGCCCGTATTTTGCAGAAGACCTCCGAGAATTGGATTTTTTCGTTTCATTTTGCAACAATGACTCATTTTCGCCGAGAATTTTTTAACAGTAGTTACCTAGAGCTTTGTTCATTACGCCGGATTAGTCGCGTTTACTTTGAAAATTCTTTCGCAGTACATTTTCCTCTATGAATATTAGAAAAATATTTTTCTACTATGTCATAAAATATGTACGCATTCAGTGTAATATGATTTTAATATAATATGATACGCCCACTTGCGAAACTAATTGCGCGAATATTAAGTTTTTTGCAAAACATATTTTTTCAAAGAAATTGTTGGTTGCGAATTATTAAACGTAGAATAAATAATACTTGTTCGTTGTAAATGAAAAATAAATAAACCCCGACACCCCTTCGAGGTAGAAAAAGATAGTTTCTAACCATTCTAATTAAAATTTTATTTGGAAATAGTCCACTATATTTGTTTGGGCGCCCACAGCCTGACCGCTTAGTTATCGTTGGTACAAATTGTTTGTTCCAAGTTAATCAAGAAAATAATTCTATTTGTAAATGAAAAAAAAAAACATTTTAAGAGGAATAGAAAATGCTTCTTTGTATGAAATTGAATTTATGAAAATAAAATTTATAAAATTGTTTCATTGATTAAAGAAGACATACATTTATTATGTCAATAAGGTAAATTTTTTTTATAGCAAAACTTTGAAGTGTCTTAAAAATTAATTTATCAATCAACATAGGTCATAGGAAAATAAATACTGTATACGCATAAACGAAAAACACTTGGGTACATATAATTATCCTTTCCTTACTATAATATATAATATAATATAATAATATTATAAATTGGAAAGTGAGTTTATTTGTTTGTTTGTTTGTTCCGCTTTTACGTCGTAACTACTAAACCGATTGCTTTGAATTCTTGCAGACATAAAGTTAGAAGTCTGGATTAAATTATAGGGTACTTTTTATCCCGGGAAAATTTTATATTCTCGAGGGAAAACAAAAGTATTGGTATAGATGGCGCTTTGTGTATTGGTATTTCACATGGGCTACTTTTTTCCTTTTGTGACGCGAGCGAAGCCGCGGGTAAAAGCTAGTACAATATATACCAGTAATTTATGAGTAAAAGTACAACTGATTGCACAAAAATAATAAAATACCAAATAAATCGATTATAAGCGTGAACTCATTTTTCAGATACCTTCCATTGCGAAAAAATGCCGATAGATGGGAATGATTGTTAAAGAATGAATTTGCGTTGAATGATCGATTCTCTAGACCACCCCTATAATTCGACAGTCAATCATAAAGGTGGCGACATACTGATAAAGTTTAGACATTAGTTTTGTCATCTGTGGCCCTCAGATAAGGGCAGTGTACAATGAACAATTCGTACATTTCGTGAAGAAATAAGTTTATGGATAGCTAAATATTATAAGCTAATTATTTGGAGTCATAGTTCAGCTTTTGTTTTCTTATACGTATTTTTTATTTCTTCACGACACTAACCGTGTGTCTGATGTTTAGGAAACTACCATTAATCAAATTTCTTAGGATGTGTGTTAATGCTACAACTATTGGTACTACCTACTATTGAAAACTATTTCAATTTTGTTTTGCACAACATGAATTTTTTAGAGTTAATATTTTAGTTTAAAGTACTGCGTTGTATAATATAAAATATTCACGAACGCTTTAAAAGTATTTCAGTTTTAAAAAATAACTAAAACAATCATATTGATACGATGAAAAAGCAGTTTTAGCATCAATAAAAAATCATTCGCATTTTTTACGAACGTAAAATTAGAAATGAAACATTTCGCAATATAGTGTAAAAGTTTCGCTTTACAATATTCATATGAATATTTTCTAAGCAAGATAAAAAATAATACCACGCCTTTTATTTTCATTGGTAGGCAGAGCTGTGTACCTAACCAGAACCAGTGGTGGATTGGTAAGCCTTTTGCTATATCACATATCAATAGCATATACTATAAGTGGCCACTGCTGACCTTTAAAAGCCTCTACTCACATGGAGAAAGTTTGAGCATTAATCACCACGCTTGCTCAATATGAGTAAGCTATTACAAACTTATAATTATAAATTATAAGCCCAGGTTACCTTACGAAGTTTTCCTTCACCGTTGTCTGAGATGTCACTACGACAATTAGGTGCAATTTCAAGACTTCGTGCCCAAACTAAGATATTTTCAAAAAAAATAAAATACCCAATAGTACTTCGCTTACCCTGACAAGCCAGTCTTTTATAGAATCAGGTATTTATATCGATTGATAAGCATCAGAATCCACTGTATATGAATAAAGAAGTTACTTCGCGGCACGGGCGATGCAGGGTGAGAGACACGTTTATCAAAAATAAGGGCCGGTGTTATTTTGCACGTAACATGGTAAATATTTGGTTACGTTTACTTCATGTTTGTTGTTTGGTAAAGGTACATAGTTCTTATAATTATAAAGAAAGATAATAGGAAAATAGGTGAACTAGACTTTAACCTACAGCGGTATACTTTGTAATTTTTTTCTACTAGAAAAATGGATTCAATTATATATATCATTGAATTGAAATTTATACACATCATTTACCCTAGTGACAACGGACTAGATATAGGAACAAGAAGAATTTTGTGCTAGACGAATGCCTACGCCCAAAAGACAGGAAATATAAAAACAGACTTTTTTTTAAAAGAGTAACGAATGGAGTTTCTTGCTCGTTCTTCTCCACTCGAATCGACATTTTGGAACGAGCGCCTAGCTTCACTGACGGACAGACTGACAGACTATTATATATCTCATATTTGTTGACGTTTCAAACGTACCAAATTATGGTTTAACTAGCTGTTGCCCGCGACTTCGTCCGCGCAGAATAATGACTTCTGGCAGAATTTAGGCTTTTGAATTAGTTTTTATCAAGGGATATTCTACGGTAATGGATGTCGTCAGAATTGATTCAGTCCCGTAGATGATAGCGTGATAATATGTAGCCTATATGTTTACCAGACTTGTTAGTAATATTCATGCAAAATTTGAAATAGTAGTGCAGTACTTTTTGAGATCATCACGGCCATACATACAGACAAACAGACAAAAATTCTAAAAACCACATTATTGGCTTCGGTATCGATTAGAGATCACGCTTCAAATATTCTTTTAAAAAATATTCAATGTACAGTTTTGACTTTTCTACGATTTATTATATGTGTAGATAGCTGTTGCCCGCGACTTCGTCCGCGTAGATTAATGACTTCTGACAGAATTAACCAGAATCAATTCAGTGCCCAAGTAAGATTTACCTATTTTGAAATGATTTATCGTAGTTTCAATAAATAAATAATCCCGCAGGGATCTTACCAGTACAGTGCCCGATCACGTAAGGTTTGAGTAATAAAAACTATTCTATCGACTATTGTTGTACCGAATCTCTCTAGAATAAGTTCAGTGGTTAAGAGTTAGAGAGTCCTGGGGCATTGACGCATAGTTCCCGTTCTCGTGAGACATCTGTGAAAAAACTATCATACGTTACCCAGGTCCCAAATCATCGTTTTACCGAATGTAATTCAAAAAGATTCAATGATTCTAAATTCAACGGCTAAGAAGATTTATACAAACTCTCATTCCCTATTTTATCCCCTTAGGGGTGGAATTTATCAAAATCCTTTCTAAAGAGATACCTATGTCATAGTAACTTTATGCATGCAAAGTCTCAGCCCGATCAATTTAAAACTGGCAAAGTATCATACTTTGGGGTGAGAATGTTCAAAAACCTTTCTAAAGGGACGTTTACGTCATAATATCCATCTGCACGCCGAATTTCAACCCGATCGGTGTAAAACTGACAAAGCCTCACACAAACGTTCATCCCCTATTTTACCCCCTTGGTGGAAATTATCAAAATCCTTTCAAAGCGGATGCTTACGTCATAACATCTATCTGCATGCCAAATTTCAACCTGATCGGTTTAAAACTGACAAAGGCTCATATAAACTTTCATCCCCTATTTTACCCACTTGGGGGTGGAAATTATCAAAATCCTTTCACAGCGGACGCCTACGTCGTAACATCTATCTGCATGCCAAATTACAACCCGATCGGTTTAAAACTGACAAAGGCTCATATAAACTTTCATCCCCTATTTTACCCACTTGGGGGTGGAAATTATCAAAATCCTTTCATAGCGGACGCCTACGTCGTAACATCTATCTGCATGCCAAATTACAACCCGATCGGTTTAAAACTGACAAAGGCTCATATAAACTTTCATCCCCTATTTTACCCA